AGGAGCAAAGCATCCTTCCTAAAGGGCTGGAGAAGCTGGCGTGTGCCAAGGCTGGTGTCCTGACCGTTGCCAGTGGCAGGGGGGCTGGTACCTCCAAGCTGCAGTGCCACCTGCCTGGTGCCACAGTCAGGGCTTGTTGGGGATGGGAAGCTGAGACTGGTGTAACCCACTGCACATGTGACAACGTGTGACAATGCTCTGCCTGGGGAGGCCCCGTCTGCTGAAATGTTACCGTGGGCAAAACTGGGCTGAGAAACAGGAAAGGATCCGTTCACCTCTGCTTGCCTCCCCAGTGGGTGCTCCAGGCACTGTGCTAGCCCTGACTGCTAATTAATCATTAATAATCCACAAACAGGGGCAAAGGGGCCAGCTTGTGGCTGTGCTGGCAGCCTGAGCCCAGGTGGAGAGGCTGGATGCCATGGGAGTGGATGCACATCGGTGGGGCTGGGCACACGGCGGCTTGCAGCAGCTGCAGAGCACGAGCAGCCGCTGTGCTCAGGTTCCACGTTAATTAGCACAGCTCGTGAGGCTCTGCTGTGGCTCCAGGGGGGTCAGCAGTGCCGGGGCACTCACTGCCTCTCCCTGCCCTGCCAGCACCGGGCCCTGCGATGCCGTTTGGCTGCGTGACGCTGGGAGACAAGAAAGATTATAACCAGCCGTCTGAGGTGACCGACAGATATGACCTGGGCCAGGTCATCAAAACGTGAGTTGGTCCCTCCATGGCCCCATGGATGCCCTGGGGAACCTCAGCCACCTGTGTGGGGCTCTTGGGTGCTGAGGAGTGGCACAACACTGCCTGTGGGGGCTCTGGGGGTGCTGGTCCCCAGCTGGGCTGGGATTGCAGGGTGTATTTTGGGGCGGCTTTACCCTAAATAGTCCCTCTTGCTCATGGGCACATGGGAGATATTCACAGCTAGTGAATATCACTGCCCAAGGAGGGCAGTGAGCTTTCCCACTGCTGCTGGCTGCAGCTGGGTACCTCCCCATATCCCTCCCTCCTCCCCTCAAGATTTGCAGGGATTGCAGCAATTCCAAACGATCCTGGCTCCCTTGAGCATTTTGTGAATCAGGAGGGCTCAGCTACAGCAAAGGAAAGGCAGATTTCACTTGAGGGGCAGTGGAGCACTGCTGCTTCCCTCAACTTTTATTGCCATGCTGAGGAACCTGTTAGGATGCCCTCCAAAAAGTGAAGCCCTCACACCCCTTGAGAGCAGCTTGACCGCAAAACAGGCACCAGAATTTTTTCCATCAACTTCCAAAACACCTGCTTGGACAGAGGTCGCAGCTGGGAGGATCATACTGGGTGGCAGCGGGGACCTTGGTGCTCTCAAATCTTTGCTCCATCCTCTGGGCAGTTTGTCCCAAAGCCCACACGTCACTGTTCCCCTCCACCCAAGGCAGTGGCTGTGAGGATTCAGAGCAGCTGGGGGGATTGGAAAGCCAAGGCTTTGCTGGATCAATGCCTAGTGCCTCTCGGGGGCTCCCCTGCAGCTCCAGCCTGGCCGATGGGCTCCAGCACCATTAATAATAGAACAGAAATACTGCAGCTACCGGCACATCTCCCTTTCTTTCTCCCCGACTGCTGTGCTGATGCTAATATCAGGTGTGCTGCTGTTCCACCTTGGCATGAGTGGCTTCACAGTGGGTCTTACCCCTCCTGTCCTGAGGATGGGGCTTTTCAACCAGCAAATTCTCCCCCTTCCCTATCAATTTGCTTCTTCCATATCAGTTGCTTCTCACTGCTGTTTTTTATTTCCCCTCCAAAGTGGTTTTGAGCCACAGCTTTCTGTGGCATCTCCGTTGACTGCTGGGATCTGGGGGAATGCTGGTGGGCCCAGGGACCACCGAAGCACCTCAATCTCAGTGGTCACCAGGAACGGGGTGATGTCTGAGGGTACCCTTGCAGGGAAGAGTTCTGTGAAATCTTCCGGGCCAAGGAGAAGACGACAGGGAAGTTGTACACCTGCAAGAAGTTTCTGAAGCGGGATGGGCGGAAAGTGCGGAAGGCAGCCAAAAACGAGATCATCATCCTCAAAATGTGAGTACTGAGACTGGAGGGGATCCTGTGCTCCTGGGCAAACTGGGAACTCCCACCCATGTCCCTGTCTTTCTCCAGGGTAAAACATCCCAACATCTTACAGCTGGTGGATGTCTATATCACCCGCAAGGAATATTTCATCTTTCTGGAGCTGTAAGTTTGGGAGATTTAGCCGGGGGAAGGCGTGGTCCCATCAGGGATGGGTCTCAGCAGAGCTGCTGTCTGCAGGGCCACTGGCCGGGAGGTCTTTGACTGGATCCTGGATCAGGGCTACTACTCGGAGAAGGACACCAGCAATGTCATCCGGCAGGTGCTGGAGGCTGTTGCCTACCTGCACTCACTCAAGATCGTCCACAGAAACCTCAAGGTGGGTGGCAGGGGGGTGGGAGCACCCATGGGTGCTGCCATGCCCCCTGTCCTGGCACTCACAGTCCCCGTGCCAGCAGCTGGAGAACCTGGTGTACTATAATCGCCTGAAGAACTCCAAGATCGTCATCAGTGACTTCCACCTGGCCAAGCTGGAGAACGGGCTCATTAAGGAGCCCTGTGGCACCCCCGAGTACCTGGGTGGGTGAGAGCAAGCCGGGTGGGCATGCAGGGGCAGGCAGTGCTGGGTCCCAGCAGGACCCTGCTGCTCCTTACCATCCACTCCTTAATACCTCCACCTCCCATTCCCCATCACCCCGGGGGCTGATCCTAGGTGCTTCCAGTGGGTGCCTCCCACTCCCCATCACCCCATGGCCAAAAGGCCGGGTGGCTGGGGACCGCAGGGGATGGTTGCTCTTCTGTCTCTCGCAGCTCCAGAGGTGGTGGGGCGGCAGCGGTACGGGCGGCCCGTGGACTGCTGGGCCATCGGCGTCATCATGTACATCCTGTGAGTGTGGGGTGAGGGAAGGGGTAGCTACAAGGGCTTGGGGCTTGGACCGGACTGAGCCCACCACTACATTCCTCAGCCTCTCGGGAAACCCTCCTTTCTACGAGGAGGCAGACGAGGATGACTACGAGAATCACGACAAGAACCTCTTCCGCAAAATCCTGGCTGGGGACTATGAGTTCGACCCGCCGTACTGGGATGACATCTCGCAAGCGGGTGAGCCCCACACTGGGGGGTATATGGGGTCCCATGTTGTCCCCTACCAGCACTGACTTCTCCCCCCGTGCCCCCAGCTAAGGAGCTGGTGACACGTCTGATGGAGGTGGAGCAGGACCAGAGGATCACAGCAGAGGAGGCCATCTCTCATGAGTGGTGAGCAGCGGCAAGGTCAGATGGGGAGCCAAGGGGGCTGGTGGGGGCTGCTCATTACTCACTGTCTCTCCAGGATCTCTGGGAATGCTGCCTCTGACAAGAACATCAAGGATGGTGTCTGCGCCCAGATCGAGAAGAACTTCGCCCGGGCCAAGTGGAAGGTGGGTGTGGGTGTGCTGTGACTCCGTGTCCCCTTTTAGCCGAGCCCGGTCCCCCACCATGGGGCTATGAGCCTGGTGGGGCTGTCCTTGCCCCTCCGCCAGCCCCACACGCCCTCGTCTCTGCCCCGCAGAAAGCCGTGCGAGTGACCACGCTCATGAAACGCCTGCGGGCGCCCGAGCAGACGGAGACGGCGGCAGCCCCGGCCCCAGCAGCCACCCCAGCCCCGGCAGCCACCTCAGCTCCGGCAGCCACCCCAGCCCCGGCAGCCACCTCAGCTCCGGCAGCCACCCCGGCAGCGACCCCGGCAGCAACTCCAGCCCCGGCAGCGACTCCGGCCGCGGCCTCGGCTCCTGCCGCCGCGGCCACGGAGCCCGCAGCCACAGAGCCCGCCACCGACACGGCCACGGCCACGGCCCCCGCCACGGAGCCCGCGGCCCCCGCCGCCACCGCCCCGGAGCCCGCAGCCCCCGGCACGCCGCCCGCCGCCGCGCAGCCCCCGGCCCCCGGCACACCGCCCGCCACCACGTGTAACGAGGTCGGGGCCGCCGCCGAGCCCCCCAGCGAGCAGAGCGGCTGAGCGGCCCCCGCGACCCCTGTACATAGCCCCGGCATGGCCCCCCACCCCCGCCTGCGCCCCCTTTTCTACGTGCCCCGCCGGAGAGCCGGCCGCGGGGCAGAGCCCTGCATGGCGCCCGTTCCCCCGTGTCCTCCCAGCTCTCTCAGTCTGTCCCCCGCCCCCGTCCCCTCCCCCGGGGATGCCCAGAGACGCGGGGCAGCCCCCTCGGCCGCCCGCCCCGCAGTGCTGGGGGGGCGTGGCGGGGCCCCCCGGGACACGCGTGCATGTGCGGGACCACAGGCGGGGCCGCGCGGGACGGAGCGGGGGCCGTCCCGGAGACCCCCTCTCCGTCCCGGGACCCCCGGGGGGGACACGGGGACCCCCACGCGTTGTGCCTGGAGGACCCCCACTGCCCCCTCCGTGCCCCCTCCCCGGTCCCCGCTTCCCCCCTCGCAGCTGCATGCCTGCAGGGCCGGCTCTGCCCACGGCTGCCGCCGCAGCCCCGCGCCCCACCGCTGTATCTCTGGCAAATAAAGACCCCGCTGAGGACAAACTGAGACAGCACCAGCGCCGCCTGCCCAGTCTCTCTGTGGGGCCAGGGGTCTGCCAATCGTGCCGGCAGCAGGGAGCTCAGCGAGACGCAGCGGGCTGGAAGCGGCACCGCTCCCCAGGAAGCGGGACCCCGTGAGCGCTCGCTGCCGGGATGGATCCCGGGAAGGATCCCGGGAGCCATCGCTGGGCTCCGTGGGGCACGGGCCGGGCGCGAGGCCCCGCCCCTTCCCACCGGCCACGCCCCCTGGATCCGCCTTGGGTGCCACGCCCACTCGCTCCCGCCCCATCCTTGGCCCCCGCGCGGGCTCACTTGAGGTCACATCCGGAGCGGGCCGGAAGCGGCGCGCTCGCGGTCGCGTTTAAACCGCGCAGGGCCGCGCGCCCGCTCTGGCCCCGGCACCGCGGCCCTCTGGAATCCCCCCTTTAACCTCCGCTGGCCACCCGAACTCCCCGGCCCCGCCATGCCCATCCGCGCCTACTGCACCATCTGCTCCGACTTATTCGACAGTAAGCGGGACGTGGCGGCCGTGCCGTGCGGGCACACCTTCCACCAGGCCTGGTGAGCGGCGGGGCGGG